GAGCTCTTATAATAATAACCTTGCCGATTCAATAAACATATGATTCTTAGATATTACAACTTTAATAGTGCTGTTTGTTTTTGCATGCTTAGCATGTTGGGCCTCCGCTGAGCAACCATTGTTTTTAACTGTACTAGTTTGCAAAGACTGCCCCACCTACTACAAAATGCACATTAAAGCCCCTTAAAATATGTTGACCATCAACTAGACTGTGACTAGCAAATCCACGAAGTGAAAACTTACCAAGGCAAAATAAAATTACAAACCCCAATGGTCTTCAACTCAATCAAGGCCATGAAACAATCGCTTGAATGTTTTTGTTACTTATACCGAGATATTTAGCATTGTGTGTAACAAACTGAATCTCAACACCACCTACGCGATAAACTGTCTGTTTGGTGAATGCATACCTACTTCTAAAAGGCAGTGGCATGTTTGCAGCTCTAATTAATAAGTCCCCTATTCTGAAAAGTGTCATTAGCTCAAGACTTTTTCAGAATTGTCCTTTTTAGAATGTGAGGCTAATAATGTAATAGGTGATGTATTTTTCATATGGGATGCAATGAAGAATGTCCAGAGAAACCCAAGCATATTAAGAAATTACACTCACACATCCCGGAGGGGGGGGGGCAGGATTGCCTCGGTTGTACCGAGGATAAGAGCCCTGATCAGGCATGACGGAGGTTGCAATCCAGATAGACACCCATGATTAAATCATGGTCTCTAGTGCAGCTAGTCGATCATCTCAGGCTTGTCAACAATGACTGTACAAAACAAAAACACCATCCATTAAGTGTTTTACTCAATTTTGAGAAAAATATGCAGCTATGAGAATATGCAGGGCAGGTGGGAATGTACAACACCCCCCTCCCTGCTCGTGCGGATAAAAGAGATCACTTTAAGAGATGTCAGAGGCACCCCCATGATATCTCCGTCACACGAGGTTATCACTGCTCGGAGTTCCAAATGTACACAATCTAGATAGGTAAATAGCACATTTTCTAGACTGCCTGCTGCAGTGACTGGAATCTCGCCTGAAGCACTCTCGTGGCAAGCAGACCTCGACATTGGCATTTATCTCAGGAACATATTGGCATTGTTGACAAGAATATAAGCTGCCTGACAAGCTAGTCGCCCTGCAGGCGAAGAAGACTCTCGTGTGATTCGTGGGAGGGCGACGACCATATGGAGGAAATGTATGCAATATCCAAAATGCCAAGGTTGGCGATAAGCTACAGGGATTGAGATACCAGTATCATGATCACCACCAAAGTGTGAATACTCTTTCCGTAAAGTCATTCCAATCACATTTACAAAGTACATTTGCATGCAAATTTCTCCGATCTTACATTTACATGCAGTCCTCGATGTGACGGCGCGCTGCGAGCTTACATTGACATGCTAATCACATTTACATAGTACATTTAAATGCAAATGTATCACCTTAACATCACTAGCCCCTCCCCCCAACTTCGTTTATAACTCTGAGGCTACGCCCATCTCTAACCTTTAAAAGCAGCAGCCTGCACCAGCAGCTTCCCTCCCCTTTCTTCCGCCTGATGACGATTGCTTGCGTCGCGATCGAAACGTCGTGATCTATTATTTTTTCTAACTACGTGACTTTACCGAAATAACCAAAGAGTATGGATTCCTACAGTCACGAAAGCTTCAAATCAAGATCAAAGTGTTAATATAGCGGCAATGCCAATACAATAGTGACATCTGGTATTGTGATATTTTAGGAATGTATTTACCACCATTGTTCAAAATAAACAAGTGAAACGTTGAGGTCAATGTGACAACAATCCTCCATTCTAATACTGGAACCACTGACAAATAACTATAGACAAGAGCAATGAATGGAAAAACTATCATAAGATAAACACCAGTATACAAGTTACCTATTGTACGTTTAATAAAATTGCGTGCATGTGTGCAGTCCTTGTATCAATCCGGTGCTGAATAGAGGCCTGCCCATACTGTGCCAGCCATGGCCAATGTTTGTCAATACTTCACCGATTGCCGAAGGGAGTGGTGCAGGACTGGATTGTATGCAACTTGCTATTAGCTATGGCTGAGAATTGAACTCAGGACACTGGGTTCATAAAGCAATGTGCCAATGGCTCCGTCCCATTCAAAGATAATTATACAAATATGACATTACTAACATATTAGCAACGTGCTTATTATGAACCACATTACACTGCTAATAATTATTCACTTAACCTTTATGGATGGTTTTGAATGTAACTGTGCATTAAATTGGTTATAGGTAAATGATAATGCTGAGTATTAGAGTGTACTTAATTTGGGCTCAGTAAGAATTAATTAAGTACAATTTGACGTACTGCAGATTCATCATAAATATATTACGAAGGCATACTATTAACTATGTGCATTACGAATAAGATAAGCAAGGGGCATGACATTGCACTAGGCCTGCAGTGATCGACTCGAGCAGTGGTTGACAAGAGGTGACCCTGGTCAACATCTACAAGCAACACTACCACCATCCACACTACCACCCACAGGACCACCTCTATGAATAACAAAGAGAAGTATACCGTTAATAGCCTTCACAAACTTTGTTGGCGAGCACCTAAGAAGGCCGGCACGGCACATGTGGAGGTGGTGTCGACAGTACCATGCCCAACCGCCTTTGTCTCCTGAGTGGCGATGTTCACAAATCACACCAGGTACTCATTTGAGGGTGACTTGACCTAGAGAAGGCCCAGGACCATTTCAGATATCCGCCACTGATGTTGGCCGTAAGTGGAAATCGAACTCGGGTAGCCAGGTTCGTAGTGTAGTGCGCTAACAAATAGACTGCCGCTTCCATTCAATAGCACAACAAAAAAATAAAATAAAACTACTGTTTACCACAAAGTGGTGGTCACGTCACCACGGCACTTGTGCCATGCTGGGTGCACTTTGAGGCCACGTGAAATTTCGAAGGCCCGCTGGCAGGTCACTAACAGACCCAGCAGGTGCCATGGGTTGACTGACTGAGATGAGTGGCAGATGCACCAACCGTGCTCCCCACTGTGCCAACTTTCTGTGTTTTAGCCGCATCGTTTTTTCTAGAGGGCTACTGCCTCCATCTCCGTAGCAGCGTCCTTCACGAACCTCCTTCACAGAAGCTGATTTTGACACTGGTGGTACTCATCATCGGTAAGTCCAATCAGCTCCATAGCATTGAGTACCACATCAGAAAATCTATTATCTAGCCAATGCCGTGCTCATTAAGTCCCATCTATCCAGCATACTATCACAAACACTACCACCATCACAAAAGATAAACGTCAACGACATCTATTAGCAGCACTACCAACACTGATAGCACCACCGTTTCAATTGTCAACACCACCACCTACAGCACCACCACCAACACCAAACTCAATAGCCACCAATCAACCCGAAGTGACGGTGACAGCGCCGCATTGCCTGTCCCAGGCTAGGTGCACTTTGAGGCAATGTGAAGTGTGGAAACCTCGCTGGCAGGTCATAGAGAAACCCAGGTGTTATGGATTCACCGACTGAGATGGCAAATGCACCACCTGTGATCCCCACTGTGTTTTAGCCGTACCGGTGCTCAGATCGTTATAAGCGTCCCTCCTCCACCCTTCATTGTTGTTGGAGGGCAACTTCCCCCTGTCCACTAACGTCCTTCACAAGCCTCCTCCACAAAGGCCGGTCTTGACACCGCTGGTACTGAACATGCCGTGCCCATTTAGCCCCTTCTACCCGGCCAAACAGAAGTTATTTGGGCACGTGGCGGTTGGGCTTTACGGGCGACATAACTTGGCCAACACAACCTTGCTTACCAGAGGAGCTCACAGATGGGACTGTGTACAGATAGTTCTAAGATGTATGAGCTCCTCACACAATTCAGTCTGGTTAAACTCAGGATAGCGCGTAGGCAGGCCAGGCTGAATGTATGCAGCCAGCACAGGTGATTCTCGACAGGGGGTCGACGTTGCTCAAGCACAGAAAGGGCATCACCACTGTGGCTGACAAGACCCGGAAGTTAATATTGAGCAAAAGTACACGCAGCTTAAACACACAGTTACACAGCTGATAAGATAACGCCGCTCCATCCGTTCGATCGAAGTGCTGACAAGCCAGAGCTAATCACGAACACAACTCCCCAGGAATGGAAACTTCTCCACTTTCTACAAAAAACACCCCATTACTGATGTGAAGTGTTTGACACCTGGTGGAACGTTCCTAGCCAAGGATTATTCAACACACGCTGAGCCCCAATGTGGGTTTCGGCTGAGGGTGGTAATTTTCTGCCTGCTACGACAGACGTGTAGGGCATCTTTGGAGGACATACGTGGTAAAGGCCTACGTTACCAACAAGACGCCAGGGATATCTTTCAACCATTCTGAGTTCTTAACCGTCTCTGCTCACGAGCAAAACAAACAATACCACTACCACCTCCTCTAATCATCACAACCTCTATCACCAACACAACCACCTAAAGAATTCACACCACCTCAAACACTACCTCCAACCCGACTAACAGAACCAATAACAACACCATAATCACCTCTACCACACCACCTCTATCAGAGGGGGACGCACTGATCCAAATCCTACTCGGACCGTCCCACTCTGCACCTCATCACCACCTCCTAGGCCTGACCCAATGTCCACCTCATCACCACCTCCTCAAACTGACCCAATGTCCACCTCATCACCACCTCCTCAAACTGACCCAATATCCACCTCATCACCACCTCCTCAGACTGACCCAATGTCCACCTCATCACCACCTCCTCAAACTGACCCAATATCCACCTCATCACCACCTCCTAGGACTGTCCCAATATCCACCTCATCACCACCTCCTAGGACTGTCCCACTCTGCACCTCATCACCACCTCATCAGACTGTCCTGCTAAGGTGATAGTGGGGAGGGGGGTTGCGTGCGATGCGGCAGTGCCTCGTCCCATCACGCCCGCCCGGCCCGCCCGCCACCGCCGCCGCCGCTCACTTCTTGACGTTCGCCTCGCCGTTGGGGATCTTGCGCAGCTTCTTCTTCTTGAGGATCTTGACGGCGCGGCGGCACAGCGTGTGCGAGTCGAGCATCTCCTTGACCTTGCCGTAGGAGCCCTCGCCCAGCAGGTCTCCCATCAGGTAGCGCCCCACCATCTTAGCGCGCTTCCTGCGCGGCTCGTACACGATCTCCGCCGAGTCGATACGGTGGATAAACATGTCGTCCACGTCGTTAATCCACTCCATCTGGGACATCTCCATGGCGCCGTCGCTTGTCGCCGAGGCCGCCGTGGCCGCCGTCTCGGTCGTTGTTGCTGTGTTGTTTGTTTGTTGTTGTTGTGGAGTGGTCTTCCCCCTCAGCCGCAGTCGCCGCCGCCGCTGTTACTGCTGCTGTGAGGAGCGGCCATGACGGGGGAAGAGTGGCGGCTACGCCCCTCCCCCCATCCGCCCCGCCCCCCACCGCGACGACGGTGGCCCGAGAGGGGCGACAACCCGAACGCGATTTGATATTCAACGCAGACGAAGATTCACGTTCTCTGATCTGACACTGGCGAGGCCGGGCCCTAAAGAAGGCTGTCTCTGGTGTAGACCAATCAGTGTGAAAGACAATGCATATATTATCAGAGCATGTTTTTTTGGTATGTTCACCACAAGTACGTGTGGTTGATGCAGACATGATTCCTTGCAAAAGGCTTATATTTGTTGTTTAAACATCTTAACCCCTGATGATTGCTTATGTTGCAGTCGAAACGTCGTGAGAATTTGTTACATTTGTATTTAATTATTTCCCTTCTACGTGACTTTACCGAAATAATCAAGAATATATATCTTAACACCTGTTTTATTGCCAGAAAGGGTAAAACCTATTCTTACCTTTTCAAAGATCCACCTAATAGGCTTCACCTGGGAGCCTTTGAATGGTGGAAACCCAACCACCCTCGGGTTGGCTGTCCACCACTCACATTATCATTGGCTGCTGACATTTGGCCTACGCCCATTTCAAACCCTGATGAACAGTTTTCCTTGGAAGTTGACCCCCCTTTTCCTGAAGACGACTGCTTGTGTTGCGATCGAAACGTTGTAGTTTTTTGTTATTTTCTTTAAACCTATCTACGTGCCTTCACCGAAAGACCCAATAATATAGGCTTCACATGCTTTTGGGACAAGTACTGTTAGCGATCGCATATGAAGAAGGCCTTCCACATACTATACTTCATACCTGTCAACCCATAGAGTTTACCTGTGTTCTTGTAAGGGAAATTGAGTTTTCAGGTCCATACAGCGTACAGCCGTTTCAATCGAAGCAACATCTTTTTTGTCTATTTGTGTTTCTCCCTTGTGACTTTATAGGATGAACGTTGAGATGTATAAGGGCACGGGGTGACCAATAAGGTCTGAATTGGTCTGTAATAAGGTAGGGCACTGATAAGGAGTTGACAGGTATAGTACATGAGAGAGAAAAACTCAACACATTTGTTATCTTGACTTAAAGCTTTCGTGACTGCAGGAATTCATATTCTATGGGTCTTTCGGTAAAGTCACGTAGATAGGTTCAAAGAAAATAACAAAAAACTACGACGTTTCGATCGCAACACAAGCGGGCGTCATTAGGAAAAGGGGGTTAGCCTCTAAAGGCAAACTGTTTTTCATAAGCAGTTTTCCATAAACAGTTTGATGACGACCGCTTGTATTGCAATCAAAACGTCGTAGTTTTTTTTAAATATTATTTGAACCTATCTACATGATTTTAGCGAAAGACCCAAATAATACATTTGTTTTTAACAGTGTATGATGGCCTTAACAGAAAAAAAATACGTAATGTCGGGCAGTGGCATTTCTTCGTGGCACATAAAGAGAAGGGGAATTGCCCGAAACGTCACCTATTATATATTAAAAGTGCCTCTTCTATCTCCTGTCAAGAAGGGCCTATGATATATATTGTTCTTTTAATGCAGTGTTCTTCACTCATTTTCAGAGGGGGGACACTTTCGCCGATAAGGCACCACAGTGCGAGGGGCCGCCACACGTTTGAAACTATTGTTGGGTTTGACAGCAGCACGATGCTGACGATGATGGGGAGTGTTTTCACTTTTTTCATCTTCTTGGTTCTTTCGGTAAAGTCACGTAGAAGGGTTTTCACTGTTTGTGTATTGCCAGAGGGGGCGCACTAAAGGCCACCAGGGGCTGCCAGTGGCCCGCGGGCCTTGCAACGAAGAACACCGGTTTAAGGCAATGTTATTGACGGATGTCTTGAGTTGCTTTGATGCCCTGAATTTGAGCTACGGATATAACAATACCTGTCTACCTTGCCCGATAATGCCTCCCTCCCCCCCCATGGGTTCTGTGGCTACTTATTCCATCGCAATGACGGAGACATTCCTCACTGATCACGATTTGCGATCTCTCCTCGCCGCTGCAGTGGAAGCACCTCACGCGTGCTGAGTCAAACGCCGCGGTGACCCCATAGCTGTCAACCCATACGAGTTACTCGTATTCTTGTACAGGCAAATTGAGTTTTCAGGTCCATACGGAGTGCAGCCGTTTTAATACGGGCAACAAGATATTGTTTTGTCTATTTGTTTGTGTTTCTCCCTTGTGATGGGACTTTGTAAGATGAATGTTGAGATTTATAAGGACACGGCGTGATCAATAAGGTCTGAATTGGTCTGTAATAAGGTAGGGCACTGATAAGGGGTTGACAGGTATGTTACCCCAACGTGTCTTGTGCCCCAACGTGTCTTTCCCAGGAGGATCCGGCGTTTGTTGTGCTTGGCCAATCCCATTATTGAGAGTTTGGCGAGGTGTTAACTACCTCGCCTTGTATACAGGAGGTCGTGGGTTCGATCCACGACCCTGACACCTTTTGTATATTTGGAGTTTGCGGTGTCTCTCTCCCTGTGGTCGCGTGGATTTTTGTCCAGGTTTTCCCTCCACATTTGGAAACATGCGTTTATAGTGTTTGGCTGCGATACATTTCCACGGGAATAGCGACTTGATTGAGCTATCATTTGTGGCCAAGTCGCTTCTGAAAAAGAGCTACGTAGATCAGTGGAGCCAGTAAAATAAAATAAATAGTTTAGTTCCGTACTGTAAAACACACAGTATTACAATCTGGCAGAGAGGCTGGTGGTGAGTGGATAGCATCTGTCCGCGCACTCTGTGTGTGTCTGTGGGGAACGGTGGAGCAGCGGTTAGCGCGACGCTGCGCTACGAACCACTATGTAACACAATTTTTGTTCCTGGCTAGTTAGTGTTATTTCGTAATTGCTTATGCCTAAACAGTATAGAAAATGGCTATTATTATTCTTAGGTTTTTTCGGTAAAGTCACGTAGGTAAAACATCAAAATTAATTAAAATAAAATAAAGATCACGACGTTTCGGAGGTAACACAAGTCTCCGTCATCAGGTGGGACCGTCACAGCCAGATTAGCTGCATCAAGTGAGGCAATGATTCAAGATGTAATCCCTTAAAAGCGAGTTGAGGGGGGAGGAGAGGGGGGGGGAGCTCATCAGAATGTGGTAGCCAATGAATGGAAAGTATCGGGAGGGAGGGGGGCGGGGCCAAAAGGGTGGGCGACGGCGTGGAAGCGATTGTGCGCAAGAGACAAACTACTGCACACGCCAACGCATTGGACAGAGAGGGGGGAGGGGGAGGCCTGATACACATGATACAAAAGAACGGAAATGCCATTGTTTATACCAATGCTGGCTGAACAATGAAGAGATTACTGTTAAACACTCGGTAAAGTAAAGTAAAATAGTGCCTGTCAGATAAGATTGTCCAAAAAAGTGTAATTAAGTCTTTTTTGCGTGGTTAATAACATCTTTCCAATGATTACTAAGTTTGTACCCATCATCACGGTTGGAATTATGTATGTTTTTGTATATTTGTATGGCTTCGTGTATAAACCTTTGATGGTAGCCAGGAGGTTTGCAGAGAACCTTGGTCTCGGAAAAGACAATTTCATGAGAGCCCACCGAGTTGTAGCAATGATCGGCAACGGCCGAAGAATCAGTTCTGCCGTGTTTCAGATCTGACTTGTGCTCGCGGACACGATCAGCAACATGACGTTTCGTTTCTCCAATGTAGCAATCACCACAAATGCAACTCAATTTGTAGACTCCAGGATACTGTAAGTCAGGAACGACATCCTTCACAGATGGAATCAGATCACGGATTTTATGCACTGTACTGAATCGGACTTGGATCTTATGTTTGTTTAGAATTTTTGAGATATTTTTGGTCACGCCTGCTATGTATGGTAACGTGATAGTTTTGGTCGGAGTTTCATGTGGCTGTTTCTGTGTGGTGGGAGAGACAGCTTGGCGGATAGTACGGTCAGAGTATCCGTTCATCCTGAGGGCCCGATGTACATGTCTTAATTCACCGGTCAGGTGGTGTTGGTCAGAAATGCCATGGGCTCTGTGGTATAGCGTTTTGATGAGAGAATTCTTTTGAGATGGGTGGTGGTGGGAATCCGGTTTCAAGTAGGAATCTGTGTGGGTGGCTTTCCTGTAGACAGAATGTCCCAAGGATCCGTCAGGTCTCCTCTCAAACAGAATATCCAAGAATGGTAGTTTACCGTCTTTCTCCACTTCCATGGTGAATCTGATGGATGGGTGTCTAGAATTGATGTGGTCCAAGAAGTGGTTCAGTGCTGGGAGGCCATGTGGCCAGATGACGAAAGTGTCATCCACATACCTCTTCCAAAAGGAAGGACGCAGGGTGGATGTCTGGATGGCGTCTGATTCAAACTTTTCCATGAACATGTTGGCTATAACTGGTGACAAGGGGGAGCCCATAGGGGTACCCTCATTCTGTTTGTAGAAGGTGCCATTCCAGGTAAAATAGGTGTTGGTGAGGCAATGCCTAACCAGCGCAGGTACATCAGAATTCAATCCATGTTGGACTAAATCCTCAATTATTGTTAGGGTGTCCGGTACTGGGACTTTGGTAAACAAAGATACTACATCAAAGCTGACGAGGATGTCATCAGGAGATAGTACCATGTCCTTAACCATAGAGACTTATTGGGTTGAGTTGAGTACTGCCGAAGAGGTCTTGCCTGTGAAGGGGAGCAGAGTATCTGATAGAAAACGGGCTAGTTTGTACGTAGGAGAGTTTATCGTCGACACAATGGGTCGTAGCGGTGTGCCTTCCTTATGGATTTTGGGAAGACCATAGAGTCTGGGAGGTCTAGCCGCCGATGGTTTTAGAGAGGGATGTTTGCTTGGTTCGATTAGGGAAGTCGAACTCGTGATGATACTGTTGGTTTTCGTCGTTAGGCTTTTAGTAGGATCGTTTTTAATTTTGGAGTAACTCCCATCATTAAGAAGGTCCAGGATTTTGTTGTTGTATGAATCTTTATCCATGATGACCGTGGAATTGCCCTTGTCTGCCGAGAGGATGACTATATCATCTCTCTTTTTTAG